ACGCGGGTGGTAAGGTTGGAAGGCCCTGCGGCTGCTACAGCAGCTGGCTGTTTCTCCAACGCCTGCAGCCGTGTAAGCATCTGGTCCACTATCTGCTGCAGGTGAAGGATTTCCTCCTGCTGCAGAGCGCAGGTGGCCACGAGGTCGTGGGAGATCTGTGCAACGGCGGACAACCCTTTGTCAGTCTCCGGGGCCCCGTCTGCAGATGCCATTTCCACCCAATGTGCGGTCTCATCGCCGATCACGGTCTCCCGCGTGCACAGTCGTTCCCGTTGGCATGACCGGTGTTCAGCTGCCGCCTGCAGGTCTGCCTCCTCTTGACGAAGTTGGTCCTGTTCCTCCTTCCGTCGCTTGGCCTCCTCTTCTTGCTCATTCTGACTACGTTCCTTGGCAGCGGCGGCGGCCCTATCGTTGGCCTCCTGGATGAATGCCGCCAGGCGTTCCTCATAGGCCAGGAGGGATTCTCCCGCCTTCCGGTCCATGGCCTTGGTCTGTGATCGAGTGAGTGGCATGCACTGTCGTGCCTGAAGTCTGTACCCGGACTAGAGGGGGAGGAACAGGTAGGCAGCAGACAAGTGGGAAGGATCGGACAAATCCCTAATTGAACAGTTTCCTAATCAAAAAAAAAAAATCGTAACTTTGAAAAGAAAAGATTGTCCAATCCCATTGAGTACCGAAGGTGATGCAGAAAGCAAATGTGAACCTTCGGTGCTCAGACTGCAGAGATTCAGAAAAGAAGGATCTTTACAAACTCAGAGTAGAAGTAGGTTGCAAAAAGAAAAAAATGCCGTTTTTTTTTTTTTTTTTTTAAACGGAATTTGCAGACCTACGCAAAGTGTAGAGGGACATTTTCGGAAAAATCGCGAAATTGTCAAAATGCAGACATTTAATAATTAAACAAGGTAAAAGAAATTTTCTCGAAAAAAGAATTCTCAGAACGAAAAAAAAAAAAATCTCGAAAAACAATTTTCTCGAAAAAATAATTTCTCGGAAAAGAAAAAAAATAATTTCTCGCAAAAAAAAATTCTCGGAAAAAGAAATAATTTCTCGGAAAAAATAAATAAATAATTAATTCCGGGAAATTTCCAAGATTAAATAAGGGATTGCCAAATAATCAATCAACTTATCAATCAATTAATTAATCAATCAATCAATCAATTAATCAATCAATCAATCAATCAATCAATCAATCAATCAATCACAATCACGGATGATTGTTGGTTGATTGATCGATTGTTTGATCGATTGTTTGATCGATCTCCTGATTGATTGATCAATCAATCGAAGATTGATTGGTGGCAATCCGCCAATCCAATCAATAAATCGATAGATTGGTTGTTGCCAAGATTCACTGCACTAGCTCCGATACCACTTGTAGCATATCAGGAAGTGAAATGCACCGAGAGCCTAAGATCTAGCAATGATGAAAATGGCAACAACTGGCAGCATAGATGCAACATTCACCAGATGTCAATGTGCACAATGCAAAGAGTAAACCAACGAGAAATCAACAACAACACATTTGTATCATCATCATGGGCTGGGAAGCAGCACAGCGGAAGTCTTAGTAACCAAAGGACACGAGGACAGACAAACATAAGAGGGAAACTTCGGAAGGGCAGGGTATCAGAAAGATTGCCCTTCCGCTCACACACATGGGGAGAGATCCATAGACATGCGGGAGAGAGAGAGGGGAGAGACAGATAACCAAGTCCAACCCAAGTCTGATCTCTGAATGTCGTATGCAGTTCAATCCCAATGTAGAGTGTAAGTCCGATCTGAATGTCGCGTCCAATAAGGCAGAATGCCGTGTCCAAACAATGTCTGCAGTTACCTCTATCTCTACTCT